CCCTTCCAACTCTGTTATTCCCTTCCAGCCAAGATTTGGACTGCCAAGTTTCTCCGGGAAGGGAGCGTGTTCAGTGCTGCTCCTACCTGTGTTCTCTGGCTGTTGAGATAATTCACCATTTGGCTTAGGACACGAGCTACGTCCCGGATGACCTTCTCTGTTGCCACCATGCTGTGCTTCAGCGCTGTGTCCATCGCAAACTTCTTCAACGCAGGAATCTCTGGAGGGAGAGAGAGAGAGAGAGAGAGAGAGAGTGTGTGAACCATCTACAAGGGACACAAATGAAGGTTTTATTGGTAAGATCACGAGGAACCTGCCGATGCCTCCCATTCTCTGTGGAAGCATCTCATCCTCAGCAAATTGTATTTTCTGCTCCCTAATATTGTGCAAGGTTACGTGCCAAAACTCTTAAGAGCAGGGTTGCCCAACTCTGGCAAGTTTAAGACATGCGGACGTCAACTCCCAGAATTCCCCAGCCACCCATGACTTTGGGCTTCTGGGAGTGGAAGCCCAGCTATCTTAAAGATGCCAAGGTTGAGACCCCCTGTTCTATCTGTAGTTCAGGGTTCAACTCTGGAGCCCTTGGTGCTTTCTGCTTTCGGTTGCCTGCTTTCAGATGTTTCACTGTCCAACTGGGTAACATCATCAAAGCTAAGGAGTGTGGAGTTTGCTTAGATCCACTAGATCTCCTGGCCAGTGCTGGTGGAGGCCTTTCCCTTGGCGATTCCTCAGCCCTCCTAAGGCAGGAGTTCCCAACCTTCTCTATGCCCCGCACCCTTGGAATGCTTCTGGTCTATTCTCGCACCCCTTACAAAAGTAAATAATTACATCACCCCCTGGAATATCATCTCGCACCCTCCAAGGTCTCTTCCAGCTCTATTCTGGTTGATCAGTTGAAACGGTAGCAGAAGAGGCAGATCCACGGGATTCCGCTGTAACAATCCCTAAGTACTAAATCCTTCCGGTCCCTAAATCCTTCCGCAAACCACGTAGAAAGAGCTGCACAAACACACATCCCTGGGCAATACCTGTGTCTTTCACCTCATGGAAAACCTGAGGTTGACCATTGCAGAGCAACTTCCCACCAAGCTTGAGATACTCCGTAGAGCTGACCGTGAAAACCTCCAGATTAGCAGGCTGCTCTCCAGCCGAGTCCCCCTCGTCCATCTCTTCTTCACCATCTTCTTCACCCTCAGCTCTCCTGGACACTTCCTGCACAAGACCACGCGTGGCCCGCTCTTACCGGGCGATCGAGACAAGACGCCTCCCTCCACAAGGCTGCCGAGAGTGGCGAGGGGCGCCGCCAAAGCTTTGGTGGCCATGCCAGGCGGCAGCTCCTCCTGACCTCCAGCACGGAGCCTTCCTACCTGGAGCCCAGCGCTGAAGTCCATCAAAATCCGCTGCTTGGAAAATGCATTCCGGGCCTGAACGCAAATCAGGCTGATGGCCCGGAGCCTGGCCTCCTTCTCCCTCTGCAAGGCACAGATCTAGACGAGAGAGGGCAGAGGGAGAAGGTGAGCCACCCCCTGGGAGGAAACCCACCCACCCACCCACCGGGCTTCTAACTTTGACCTCCTGGAGGGGGAGGGGGGGGCTTACTTTGAACTCCTTCTCCAAGATGTCATGTCTCTGAAACCAGGCGGAGTCTCCGTCCGCACTTCCCTTCCTCACTGGCTGCAGGGAAAGGAGGCGGTTTGCAGGTGGGCACAGAATTCTCGAGTGGGGCATTTCTTTTGGGGGTGGCAAAAGGGACCCCGTGAGGTTTCCCACCCTCCTTTTAAATGCGCCCCAGTTTAAAAGTTCTCCAGGGAGGAAACATAATCCACAGGGAACTGAATTGGTCCTGAGGGCGACAGGAGGAAGAACCAGCCTGGGACTGATGGCCGTTTCTATTAGCCGTATCTCAGAGAAAGAGTCCAGCTGCAGGCTGACCGCGGAGGAGGGACGGAGGACGAGTACCTGCTGCCGCTGCTGCTGCCGTTGTGCGTAAAGCTTCTTCTTCTCCATTTCGGCTTCAGTCCTCTGGCGCTCCAGCTCTTGCAACTCCTCTTCCAGGGGACGGATCTGATCTTGTAGGTTGAGGTCCCTGCAACATTTGGGGGAAGGAATATCTCTGAGAGCCGCCTGGCTGCTGAATTCCGCTTTAGGAGCTTCTCGGCCCAGCCCAGGGCCCAAGCGCCCCCCCCCAAAAAAAACCCCCCTTCCTTTAAGGCAGTGGTCTCCAACCTTGGCAACTTTAAGACTTGTGGGGCAAAGCAGTGGTCTCCAACCTTGGCAACTTTAAGATTTGCTGGCTGAGGAACTCTGGGAGTTGAAGTCCACAAGTCTTAAAGTTGCCAAGGTTGGAGACCACTGCCTTAAAGGAAGGGGGG